AAGAATATGCGAGAAAGACCAATGGTCAATAAGCAAAGAACTTACAAGAAAGATGTGCTATCCCAAGTGTTAGAAGAACAATTGAAACCATCCATAAGTGTCCAGGCTGAATTCAAGCACTTATTCGTTTAGAGTCTTATGGAAGGCAACCTGGATTATGCAAACAAATTATGCTTCGTGTTGTTCATGCTCAGATAATAGCAAGCACAAACAAAACTTATGCTAAGTTTTTTTCTAATCAAATCCCAAAAACTTAAAAGCCCATACATTCATGAGAGAGAGAGAGTACCGAAGTTGAAGTCTTGAGCAGCTCCCTTATGGCCATTGTTGCGTAGCAAGAAGTGGGCAAGGTAAAACACAACTTAAGAGCTGTCTGTTGTGCTGAAGAACCAGGGACTCCATCTTCTTCATCTTGGTGACTCTCTAAACTTGAACTCTTAATATTGAGTTCCTCAGATGGATTCAAGCATTTGGTTGCGGTCTCTGTTCTGTCTTCTTCAGCAATGCCTGCTTTTCTTTTCTTATCATTGGGTTTTGATTTAGCAAGTACATCCAAATCTGTCTCAGTCAAGGGTATATTCACATCGGTGTACTCGAGTAATTCCCTGCATTTATGCAGATCCTAATGATTGAATAGTTTGCATAAAACATGACCAAGAAATCTTTTTTTTTAGTAATTATTTCTTCATTCAGTTAGGCATGCAGGCAACTCAGAATAAAGGTAAATTTTTCCCATCTTTCCACATTTTTAATGGTATTGACTTTTAAGGGCATTTTCCCCAATCAACCTTCATAATCTGCATAGAAAATAAATCCCATATTTGAATAATGAGGGCAATGTCAATGATGCTAATAATGACAATAATAACTGCTATGGAAACTAACCACTCAAAATCAAGTGGTCGCTGCAAAATTCGCCTATAACCACCAGTCATCTTCGTTATTGAAAATTCCCTGAAATTTGAGAACAAATTTAACTTCCAATTAATCTCAACACGTACAAAATAATACATCACTCTGGTCTGGTGCTAACTGCTTCAATCATTTGAGAAACTGCACTGATCACCAGTAGATCAATAACTGATGAAATTTAAAAAGTACCAATAAAATTACGGCACTTACTTGACATTATGTGAGCTTTCCATCAAGGTGATTCCATCCTAATTAATTGATAGTTATAATATTGGTTAGTTCCTCCACTAGAAGACTAGCAAAATAGGTACAATCAAAGATAGGGCAATCAATCACAACCAATGCCTATGAAACTAAATTATATATTCCAGGCATCCTTGTCATGAAGTTCGTGATACTTCCGGAAAATCCTTTCTCTTTGAAAAGATAATTCTTCCTAAAAACTATTTTCACTAACACTGGGACAATTTCAGCTGCACTAGTAAGTAATAACAGATGCTGCTAAAAATGAGAATAGTTGCAAAAGCCAAGGGGAAGTAAGAACTCAGCTCTCAACAAGTCAAAGGAATCAGACAAAAATTTCTGAATTTGAAACTCTCTGGATTTAATCACATGCCATTATCATGTAATTAACATATGCAATACATAGGCCCAAGGTTTAAAAAAACAGATTGGTGACCCGGATTGTCCTCACCCATACTCGTGTTGGATAGGTGGATCGGCATGTCGGATCGGAGAATCGGCAAGTTTTATCCCAAAGTTTTTAAAAAAATCACTATAAATCTCTAAAAACAGTGTTCCTTTAGTTTATAAAAGAAATTAGGAGTGGTGCATTATGTACTTCATTATCTTGTAAAAATAGGCGAATAACGAGATGTTGTTTTCCTGCCTGGATGTTTGTATAATTATTAATTATGATATAGTATTATAATATTGCACCAAAATAATTTAAAAATATTAGAAAAAAACTTCTATATTATAAGATTAAAGAAAATAATTTTCCATATAAAGTGAAATTAGTATCACATCAAACATTTAGTAATTTTCTTTACTCGTCCAAAATTATCACAACCAAACTAACTATAATATTATGGGCAAGCTTTCTATGCTTCCCCTAGAGTATAGAAGTTCTATCCTCCCCCTTATCCAACCGTCCATTCTGAATGGAGGGCTAAGATTGCCCAATCACAATGTAATGTCTCTACACTATTTTATTTTAAATTTTTTTCTATAAACTATTTTGACACCAAATTTTGGACGTCCATTCCTCTATTAAACTCGCACTAGCAAAAAATATAAAAAAAAAATATTTTCGATAAAATAAAATGACTAAAATACCCCTGAAAGTTTCAAGCGGTATTTTGATCATTATATTTTATCGAAAATGTATTTTTTATATTTTTTATAGGTGCGCCCCAATGAGAATATGGAACGTACCAAATTTCATATTCATAAAATTTGTATAAAAAAACTAAAAATAAAATACTTTGAGACGTCCGATCTAAGATCAAACGGTGAGTGGCTCTCTTGATCAAAATTGGACGGCTGGATGGTAGGGGAGGATAGAACTTCTATGCTGTAGGGGAAGCATAGATACCTTTCTTTAATATTATGAAATTAGAATTGTTTGTTTATATTTTATAATTATTTTACTATACAAAGAAGAATAAATGTGAAATTTGTCTTACAATATCATCTAATTTAAAAATCTAATTTACAACTATAACAAAAAATTATACATTGTATAATTTATAATATAAATAAATTGTTTTTTATGCTGAATTTATAATTTTTATAAATTATAAAATAATATACAAGATTTGGTTATCATTGAAACTACTAGAATTATTACTTATAATATTATAATAAACATGATTCAAAAAACAAGGGTCATCATCATCATTTTAGCCTTTTCCCAATTTATTGGGGTCGGCTACATGAATCCTAGTTCTCCATTCTGCTCTATTAAAGGTCATATCCTCAATGAGGTCATAAGTACCCATATCTTTTCAGACTACTTCCAACCACGTCCTTTTGGGCCCACCCCTTGTCCTTTTTCAGTCCTTCCATTTGAACATTAAAAAAACAAAAGTATGACTCACAAATAAATAAATCTTGTGCAATAATTAGTGTGGACAAAAATATAAAATTTAGAAACATAAATTTGCAATCATATTTTAATAAAATAAATAAATAAATTCATACTTGCAATGTGGGATAATTGATAAAGCAACTTGAAAATAAATTCTAAATTGGTACGAACTAATGTTATTTTTCTCTCTTAAAATATTCTATAAACTAGCATTTTTTTTTAATGTTCAATAAACTAGTACTAGTATTATTTTTGCTTTTTTTAATATCCTATGAGCTAGTACTATTTTTTTTTAATCCCAATTAGCTAATAGCCTAAGATTAATCATAGGATGAAATAATGCCATGAGCTAATAGCATAATAGTATTAGTCTATTAGATGAAGTTCATTCAATGCAACCGTTGTATTACCATGCAACGCCATCAATTTTTGGGCGGGCAAGACAATGGACTATGAGAATTGTCCCACATCGAAGAGGTGGGAGGAAAATTGCGTATAAAAAAGAAATTGAACCAACACTAATGTACATCGCATGATGGGATGCAGGGCCATGTGCTCCAACTATAGCCCCACGTGAAAGTGACGCAAAGCTTACGTAAGGCAAAAATGGATGACGTCAAGGACCATCAGGTGGGCAACCACTTGAATTTTTTAATAGAAAAAGGCAGGGACTGGCCAGACCCGGCGATCCGTGACTTCACCAGACAATCCGTGACGTCAACAGGGTGATTCAAGGTAAAGAATCGACCAGATCCCGTTTTCTTTACATATCCGGGGTGGCTCCACCGAAACCCAATCCTGATTGGGTGAATCCGGATCAGATCGAAGAAATTTTAAACCTTGCATAGGCACAACAATAGCAAAATAAGAACTATACTTAAATATGAAGAAAATCCTTTTATTCATTTTTTTTTTTTAGAATGTTAACGGTAAAATCTGTTATTCATATAAGGAATGGAAACCAAATAGATGAACAGAAACATCTATTGCGCAAAAAATACATAATACTTTCAAGTACTTAAAACAGAAAACCTCATCTCCAGCTCATTCCTAACGCATTGAACCCTAGATCACCAGGATATTTCCTTTGCATTCATGCCAAACCATTTGAAAATTAGAAACTATGCTTTAATAAAAATCTAATGGTTCAAAGTCCTTCAGTTTTCTGAAAGAAGCCCAGTATCAGTGGGCAAATTTCACCAACATATAATATTCATCATAAGCCAAAAACCAATTTGATCAACTACTAGATCTCCCAACTTACAGAAATGAAGTCAGAATTATTAAATAACAATTCATTAAACAACCATCTCAAGCAGCTATTACACTATCTAATCCAGTAACAATACAGATATTTATAATTGAAAATATATGGGGAGTCAAACCCACCTTCTTTGCCAAATCGTGATAAACACCGGCAACATCATTTTTGGGATATAATGATCTGGACCTGCAATAAAAAAACAAACACTTGCAGCCTTATATAATTGTGAAAATTTTCAGGAAATTCAGATCACATTCAGTTGAGAGCCTAAGATATATGTATTAGTAATTATTTTTAGTGAAGTACAACTATGTCAGATAGACATGTAAATAAACAATGATAAATATGTCCTGAGACTCTTCACATTTTATAAGTTGTTCTTTCAAACACCTGATAATAAAATCCATACCCAGGTAAGGGAAGTATCACATCGTCAATTGTATAGTTTCCGGAATTTATGTCTTCAGCATCTACAATCTGCCCAAAGACAGCAGCCCTTTCACAATTACTAGAGATTTTTTAGTGGTAGCGTAAAATAAAATATAGATATATTTCACTTAAAGGGCATAATTTGATAAGGCAATTTATACCATAAAGATCGGTAAAAATTTCCCCAATGGCACATTGAATTCTCTCAGGTTTGCTTACCTTTACAGACTGAATATTTTCCCCGTTACGTTCTGTATCAGGTAGACCAGAAAGCTCAAACTCCTCATCACAAGTATTGGATTCACATTCTGTTTGTAAATCTCCTGTATTTGTTACTGGACCAATGCCCTTAAAATACACAAGGTCTCCCACTACAACTTTATCAATACCTGTTATAGGAAACTGTTCAAATGAATCCAGACAAGCAAACAGAAGGGAAAATATACTACACGTAAATCGCTTTCCACTACACGTAAATCACTTTGGAAAGCCACAACACAGTCATATCATCCAATAAAATGAGGAATGGAGGAGAGTTGGACCCACCAATAGGGTCAATGTGCAATTCTTGTTCGTCCCACTCTCGCTCCATCCCAGTCCATTTTATAAAAAAGAGATGAACCTAATAACTGTTGTTTCCCATAGTCCACTAGGTTATACTATTATGTACACTTTCCCCAAACAAAAACATAGCACTTCTTGAGGAAAGGGAGAAGACAAACATTGAGAGATATTTTCCTTTTCCTCGTTTTTTGAGAGATACATCCGTTACAATGAAAAGTGCAAATGGAAATCAGAGCCTCAACCTGGAAACTTTCATGTATCCTTGCACAAAGATCATCTGATATGGATATATTACATAAGACTACACAAATTATTCAGAGTAAAAATAAAGATTTATCACCACCTCATGATGATACTGACATCAGAAAGAAATACTTATGGTCAGATAAAATGCCTACTCAAATGACAAAAAAAATTTGCTACAAACACATTTGCTACAAACTCAAAAAACAATTACCATGCTTTTGTACTCTTGAGCTTGCTGCATGATTCCACAAGTAGCTTTGGTAACTATGCACATACCTAAAAGATTAACAATAAAGTGTTACATTTAAAGTAGATACTTTGTCACGATCTAATCAAATTCAAAGCTTGCAGTGATAACTTCTGGAAACTAAACTTAGAAAATAAAACAAGTAAAGAAGCACATGTAATTAAGGAACAAAACATTTTTAATTCTTAAAAGTGCCCAATTCATGCTTTAAATAAATAACAAGAGAAATCATCAGGTAGAATTAATTCTACCCTAGTTGCCATCCCTCAGAGAGCGAAGAGGAGAGATGAGGTGTGCAAAAAAACCAGCATAGCATGTAAACCAGTTGAATATCCTGTTATCAATAATTTTGCCCATAGTACCCATGAGAGAAATTACATTATTCCACATCAAACCCAAATCAGAAGCTAGTTGCGGGGGCAGATTTTGGTTGGTATATTGGGACTGCGAAAATCCAAGCCTTATCCCAAATCATTGGGATAAGGCTTGGATGATGATGATAATATTGGGACATGCGAAGGGAAAATTAGGGGATTTTCAAATGGATTTCACAGGTTTCTAGCTTGCAACGGTGGATTTAGGTACATTGAAAGTTTAATTGGATGCCCCATCTCCACTTGTTGGGATTCAACAGTAGATAGTCTACATTCTCTAGCACCTCAGCTACAAATTAATTCTACTGATTCATTTATCAAATAACAAAATTTAACTAATACAAAATGGTTAGACACAATAAACTGAAACTAGGGTATAGTCATAAAGAGTGATGGTTGACTTCATGCTTTTACGCATTTTGAGATCATAATAAGAACCACAGTTTTGTAGTAGAATGGATGTTTTTGCATGCATGCACCCATTTTTCATTTATATTTTGCTATTCTTTGTTTCATATATATTTTGCCAGCTTGGACAACAGTTATTGGAATCTCTCACCCAAGGTCGCACTTCCAATTCGGAATCTCGATTCTGACAAGGACTCTACATGGAATCCATTGCCACGAAGTCAGGAATCTCGATTTAGAAACACAAACATAAGGCCATGAACTACAAAATAAACAATTTAGAACCTATGAGAAGCATCAGATCAGAAACTCGATTCCGAAGACATCGGAATCTTAATTCTATATATGAATGAATCTCGATTCAATATCGGTCAATTCCAAATAGGCCAGAAACTCGATTCTAAAGAGGATGGAATCTTGATTCTATTTATGTAGAAATCTCAATTCCATTTAGGTCAAATCTCGATTCATATAAAGTAGGAATCTTGTTTCCCGCAATTCCTATACACGGGCGTCGATTATGAAAATAGGAACCTTCCAGCCAACCACAATTCTGCGATTCCTATTCCTAAAACAAATTGGAATTTCTGGCACTTCCAACAACTATGGCTTGGACCTGTAGCATATAGGGTCTAAAAAGTAGGTTAGCTTTACGGCGTGCGCTGCAGATAAGAAAACATTTATCAGTTCTTTAATTTCAAACCCAGTGAATAGAGTAAAACTTGTCAAATTCCTACATGCAGATGATCATATCTACCACAAGAAAAGGAAAATGAATAAAAGATGATTGAAACAAAGAAAATAGGACCTAGAGCAAAAAATTGATTGTTCATACTTCTTTCCAATAAGTGATATTTACATATGCTTATATTCATGAGATTAATGCAGGTGGTGAGTGGGAGAAAGGAAAGCATACATCAAACGCAGGGTTCTGGGTATGCTCTTTAGGGCCTGCAAGTAATTTCCTGGACTTCTCTTCAAGCATTGCAGCTGGCTCAAAAGAAGATCAAATATCAACTCAAAAATAGTATCAAGTGTTCCAAAAAGCCAAATCCAAGGGGGGTCATACACTATAACAACAACACCCCAAAAAAAAAAAGGGTGTGGTTTGTATAGAGCCTAGGCTCTAAACAATCAAATTAGAGCCTAACTTCAAATAGTGGCGAGAAATGTGATTTCAATATTGAAAATCTTTGTGACACCCTTAAAATATATTTTCATATTTATTTATAAAGTTTAAAGCTTAAAAAATAGTGTAGATCGATATATCTACAAAAACTTGAAAAACTTAAAAATTGACATTCCAAAAATGCGTTACAAAAGACACTATTTCCAAAACTTGCAGTCCTTTTTTTTCTCATGTCCATATATCTTGATGTCGAGATGATCAATTTGAAGATATTTGAGTATCAAAACAACCTCTTCTAGTGAAATTTTTGAGGTAAGCTCAAATTTGATTGTTTAGAGCCTCGGCTCTATATAAACTTTTCCCAAAAAAAAAAGAGGAGGCTTACATATTAATAAATAAGAAGTTCACATCTAATTGACATCTATCAGACATATCCAACATGCTTCTTATTGTTAATTAGGAGTCTAGGACTAGGATAAAAGACAATGAAGAACCTACAAAGAGTTGAAAATAGCCAAAGCAAAGAATTATAAGCATTTGAAACCTAAAGTTCCAGTGGTGATCCATAGCACAGAAACTAATGGAAACAGCATACCGCCATTAGAGAAACTTACAATTGATCTCTCAGCAACAAGATGGCGAGGTAGACGCCTTAAACTTCCATCAATATCCTCACTTTCTTGGTAATATTCACGGGCTTCCTTAATGGCAATCCGTTGTTTGTTATGAATTAAGTTACCACATGGACAAAGTGGAGAGAAAGAGAGAGACTAGATGGCAGGGATTGAAAATAAACCTTTGTTTCCAAATAAATAAAACCTAGATTTATACACAATGCAAGACAATAAGGATATCCCCTTCTCTAGGATCAAGAATCAAGTCAACAGCAGCTTCCCACTCTCCTCGAAGTAATGCTGCTCCAATGGCAAAGGTTGGAACTGAACCACTTCCAAAACGCTGAAATTAAGTTTTAGAAAAGTTACACTGACTACTAATTAATGTAGTGGCAGATTTCTTATAAATGATGTCACTTAACATCTTTTAACACACTTCCATGTAAATAAGATGGCTAGAATTAAGAACCTGTAAACCATAGTAGTTGATGAACCCATGCCTTCCTAAGCCATTGGCAGCTGATTTAATAATATCCTCAGAATCTGACGCGACCCCTCTAAAGAGATAAAGATAAGCTAATACTCTCACATAAGTTATCAGAGAAAATAGTAAATAGCTAGCATGAAAAAGCAGAAAGTTAAATCAAACCACCAATTATCGTCAGTGCCAGTGGAGACCTGCCTCAAAATGATAGTGAAGCGATTTCCAGAAAGTTGCCCAAGAACAAGCCCTTCTCTCACATAGCTGGACAAGCAAACATAGGAAGGAATCTATAAGGAGAACATCAAAATGACTTTATCATGCCAAAACATGAAAAGAAAGAGCATATAACTCACCAAAAGTCTCCTATTTTTATTCCCATTAATCTGTCATTGAGAGCAGCCAATCTATTTGCATGCTGCCTGAAAACAGTTACCTGAAAAATAAGGAAACTGGTTCCTTCAAACCCGAGGAAGAACAACCCGATTACATGGATGGTCTTTTAACTCTATACTTCATTATGCAATACATCACGCTGCTCCAACAAGAAAAAGACCGCCCCAAGAAAAATGAAGGGTGATTATAACTATACCCTTTGAGTTGTAACAGCTCGTTTGTCCTTTGTTCCTGCGAATCCAAAAGATCGTTGCTGCCAGAAGTGATGTATGATGAAATAAATGAGAGAAGCTAACCAATATTCCATACAAAAGAAGCAAAATGGTGTTCTAACATAAGAATCCCCAAGTTGACAACATAGACAGAGCAGCATTCTTTTATTAATGAAATAGAAACTAGAACATCGGCATTGATGAGGCATTGATGACTTTTATGTTGGAGGAAAACAAAAATGACTATGCATTATCAACGAACCATGCTAACAAAGAACTAAAACTATAGATCCACTACTATGGAATCAAATTTCAAATTCTATTGGATTCAATGGCGACTTGAATACAAACATGATACATTCTGTACCTGGATGCCAAGCATTTTCCCTATAATAGCCAAAGCCTCCTGGGTGTCCTTATTCTCTTTGTAGAGATGAAATCTGCGGAACAAAGAGTAGTTCTAAGAAATAAAAGAACGCCGTCAAACCATATCAGGCTCCTGGGTTATTAAAGTAGCACAGTAACTGTGCATACAGCAAATGAAAACATAAACAGGCTACAATACTTTTCAGATACTATCACTTCTCACTAACAGGCGACAATACTTCTCAAATAATATCACTTCTCATTTAAAACATAAAAAGTACTAATGCAAAATATTAAGCAAAAGAACATAGAACTCAATTTACTTGTATTCATGATCCCTTAAAGGTAAATTTTTAATATCTCTGATGATAACAGGCATACAGATATTAAAGTACGTGAAGAAATGCATCCTAATCATATGAAGGAAAAAGAAAGAGTTCAATAAGTATGTACAAGTAAATATGTCATGCAACCCTAAGGGCATCACTAACAAATATAGGCATGTATATGCCGATATATTTCAAATATTAATAAGTGAAAGAAAATTTTATTTTATATCGCAAACTTGCCTGAGAAACTTGCCAATATCCTTGGGCCAATCCTTTGAACCCCTGCTGTCGAAAGGTTTCTGCCACCCATCCTGAGCACTGCCATTAGTCTTTGCATGCTTTTGGCTTCCGTCCTTTCTTTCCTTATTTTTCCGCTTTCTAGAGCCACCCCCCTCATTTTGTTTAGCTGAAGAGAACCTCACACGAACACATTTGAAATTGGTATCTGGTCCGTCAACAGTGTCTGTCACAAGGAATTTGAAGTTTGCCTTGAAAAAATTGTGAACTGCCTACGAACATTACCAACATGTCAAAAGAAGGAAAACATTTGTTGAAGGATTTGTTTATTGCCAGAAACACCATCATAGTATTTTTTTATTTTAAATTTTTTTTTTGAGAAATAAAACACTATTGTAGTATTTGTATCTAGAAAAATCAAAACTGGAGAAACATACTTACTGTTCGGTGGGATTTGTCAGAATCTGGAGACAGTAAAATAGGATCCAAATTTCCATTCGAGTCAGTGGATATCTGATCAATCAAGCACTTTAACAATTCGGCATTTGCATCGCCAACCAGGGATCTAAAAGCTTCGATTTGAACAGTGTATGTATCATTTGCTAAATCAAGGGTTGTGCTTCCCTCATCGTGTATTTGGGAGCTTGAGCTCCCATTGCTCAAATCCATTTGCTGATCAAGTGCATAGGAATTGCTTTAAATACAAACTTCATTAATTGAAACATTATTGACTCCGATATGAACTACAGAAAATTAGGACCATTATAGTTTATAATAGAGGAAAAAGAGAACATTACATCCACTGGTGCATCTATGCACGTCAAATGAACAACTGCACCATCAGGGTCTACTTCATTTACAATGAAATCTGAATACCTGCATCATAAAATTATATTAAGTTGCACAAATCTAAAGAATCAAAGGTCAATTAACCGACCGAAACAATAGAATAAAGATGCCATTTTAAATTTATTCTGAAATGCCATATGGGTTACTCGCGGAATATTTAAATCCCACCGTAATGTTAGTATAAGAAATAAAAAAGGTAACAATCACAAAGTGCGATAAAGAGAACCAAATTGTAATCCTACATTGTAATCCTACAGAGGATTGAATTTCTGAATTGAAGATTCAATCAGCCAGTATATCTCCATAATCTCGCAAAGAAACAATGAAACAAAAAGAGTTGATAACCTTAATTGATAGCTTCCATTTTTTTTGAATGCTAACCAAAATTGATAACTACCATACTATGTGATAAAATCATAACCCTTGAATCCTCTCTTTCTCTCTCTCTCGCCCTTGAATCCTCTCTCTCTCTCTCTCTCTTTCTCTCTCTCTCTAAAATTTTTGAAATCATACATATGAATTTGTTGGGTTGATGCAGCCTACCCCCCCCCCAAAAAAACAACGGGAGATCCTAACCCTTGAATCAAATATTACAACGGATTTAAAATTTTTCTTCCAGCTAAAAATATTGAAACCTGTAACAACAAATATTCACGCAAGTATTAAATGAACCATCAATAAATAAATAAAGTAAGATCAAAATCAGCTAAAATTTGAGGTAAAACCAAAATGATCCAGATTATTCCAAAAGTAATGCAGCGCAAGTCCATAGAGCCATTACTACAACAAATGCATGACAGAAAAACTATAATCGAGAGAAACCCCTCAAAACATTGGGATAAAATTTAAATATCGGCCCAATGGAAGGATTAAATTCATTGCTGCATATACATTTCAGCACAAAATAAACCATTCTCATCAGTATTTCAAGTACCGTGGTCACATAAGACCTTAAATTGTTTATTTTAATGAAATAAAAAAAAAATCAACACAATGGGTTCTATTCATTTGTCATTTGAAAAATAATAGGTTTATTTTTCATGAGAGAAATCTGAGCTCCAAACCTCTGTTTTAGCACGCCACGAAAGCCAGGTAAAGAAGAGGCGTAGCAGACGATTCCAACGTCGGTTTCTTCCATTGCTTTCACGGCTCTATCACTATTTCAGTGAGCTTTTTGTAAGTACAGTAGGAAGGGAACGCGCAGTTCCGTAGGGTTTTGTTTATTCAAAACCCTATGTTTCTCTCTCGGTTTCTTCCAATAAATTACTTACTAAAATTCCCGCTTAAATAGTCCCCAAAACTTATTAACTTTAAATCAATCATCTCAAGCCATCATCATCAATATGCTGATGCCGATGTAGAGATAGTTGTGTTGAGCGGCAACACAAAAGGGGAGATAGAATTTCAAATGAATCTATTTTTAATAATTTAAATGTGGTATTAAAAAAGACATAGAATTAAGTATATTAATCATATGTCGATCAAATACAATATTTGTTCGGAGGTACGAATTAGTTCAAATAGAATGACCGAAAAAATATTTGATTAGAAGTAATACAAAAAGATATAGAAATTTATCACTACGGAATAGCTTTTAATAGAGTATAATAAAAAACTCATTTAGTCGACCTCAATTAATTAGAAAAAAGCTAAAACGATGACAATCATGACCTCAACCTTTACCACCGTACTTGAGAAAAAAAAATTAGAATTTGTAACACATTATCAAACTGTATTTTTTGCCCTAAAAATAATTGTTCAAAAATATATAATATCTATTCCATTTTTTTGGCTTCAAAATTCATAGTCTGCCTTAGAAGTTGATTTTAAAATCATTATAGAGATTTATTATACCCAAAGTGCTTTTTCACGAATTTTTGAGGTGAGGCTTTACGATATTTTCCTAGGGCCTAGGCTTTAAAGAAACTACATCCCCTCAATAAATGGTGTAATTGAGAACCCTATCTTTCTCCTTTCAAAAACCTTGTATAAGATAAATGCAAGTTTTCTATACTTCCACTACAATATAAAAGTTATATACCTTCCCTTATCCAACCTTCCATTCTAAATGAAAGGTTAAAAGGGCTAAAATTGCCCCAATCGCAATATCACGTCTATACACTATTTTATTTTTAAAAAAATTAATATAAAATATATTAACACCAAAAATTGGGTGTCCAATCTTCTATTAAAATTTCAATTATAAAAAATATAAACAAAATATTCTCAATAAAATAAAATAACCAAAACACCCCTTAAAGTTTTAAGGGGTTTTTTTATCATTATATTTTATCAAAATTTTATTTTTAATGTTGTTTGTACGTGCACCCCAACGAGAATATGGAACGTACCAAATTTCATATTCATATAATTTATATAAAAAATGAAATACTATGATGTGTCAGATCTAATATAAAACAATGAGTGGACGGCTTGATAGTAGGAGAAGTATAGATCTTCTATGTTGTAGGGGAAGTATAGAAACTTTTCCCATAAGATAATGTGAAAACAATGCGTATCTTAAAAACTTATTAAAAATTGTTGTTGGGTTCTAGAAAATTCCTTGAGTGGTACGGATGAGAAAAATATTTTAAGTCCTAAAAATGTTGTCTTGTAAAATATTATTTGGACCATTTATTTTTAGTATTTTGAAATATTTTTAGATATGCTCCTACCATTTCTTGAGCTTTAAAGTTTATGACTATTGGTGAAAATATATTTTAGATCATCACAAGGATTGCTGACACTGAAATTGCATCTTTCCACAAGATTTGGAGAGACATCTATTTAATTGTTTAAAGTTAGCACCTTATACACATCTCGTCCTTTAAAAAATACCCTATGTAGTGGCAATTTATGCTCATATCTCTTTTTTTTCTTTCCAAATAAATCCCAGTTAAAAACTTTTAGTTCTGAGTGGCTCATTGTAAGAAATCAAAACCGTCCAAAGCCTATTAGTTTCGGAATGCTTATTCTAAGGAATCAAAATGATCCAGAACTAATATTTCTAGACCACAATTCCTTTCATGGTGGTGTTCCCCTCCTTTCATGGAGTCAAAATTTCAATTATGGAAGATGGCAATGGTAGCACTTATGTGACATTGAAGGAAAGATCCGAGATGGAGTAGCCGATACACAAGTCAAAAACATTGTGTCTATGAAGAAGATTTCTTAGCATTGCGAGGGAATGGGAATGCTTTTTCAAAAATATGGGAGCGCTTACCAATCTTAGCCGCAGAAAGATGTTTAGCATTTGGGAATCAAAGACTGAGGAATGGGTCAAACTTATTTTTGAGAGAATCGTGAGAGGGAGTAGGCTATCAAGGGTTGCTGAGAGACCATATGGTACAAACAAGATGGACGTTTATTTATTTATTTATTTATTTTTTTAGGTAATTCAGTGGGGAAGAAAAGCCCCTGCAAGATTTTTGTTAATGAGAAATATTGTTAAGGTTCGGAAAAACATAGGGGATAAAAATGTAAAGAACCTCTCTTTTTATGTGTTAAACTCGTGGGAGAAAATTTCATATTTAGCTCTGTGAGTTTTTTACAATGTTTATATTAGAGTTGGATGTTAATGAGTCAATCACCTTCTGACTCATTAATGACTTTTATTATTTTAATAGGTTGTATTTCATAAGGCTGTTTATCTACCTCTAGTGATTAGTACGTAGAGGTCACAATTTTCCCCAGTCATCACATATTTAGGTCAATAGTCCACCTTCACTACCCAAATTTCCATCTAATATTTGGCGATAATTGTGACCATCTTGTACTTAAGTAAGTAGTTTTTTTATATATGTTCTCTTTAAAAGTCCATCGTACCATGGACTACAAGTGACAACATTTTACCCTCGATCGCTTCTTGGTTGGAACTATGTTTCTAGGCAAATAGAGAGTGAGAGTTATTTTTTTTTTCTTTGAGGTTGGTTTCTGGATTTTAGATATTACATTTCTAAATTTTGGGACCTACAAAATATTCCTAACAAGAACTTTGCTCAAGGGAGTAGATGGAAAACATATAGTCCCACGGGTGTATGAAATCTTTTGGCTCTTTAAAATAAGACGAATCATAATGAGAGAGAAAGTCCTTAATCTAAAATATGGCATAGGACTATATACTCCAAATGAAACATGGGACAGCCAGGCTTACTTGAATTAATTGGTCCGTCCTACCAGACCGTTATATGTATTTAAGCAAAGCACTGATTAAGTGGTTGGAGAAGATCAAACAACCCCACATTGGGGTTTAAACAAATCCCCACATCTCTTTGTATAACCAGAAATTGCATATTTTTTTTTTGAAATTTTACTGTAAAAATTAAAGATTTATTATAAGGAAAATTGTTTCATGCGGCCAGGATGGCATTTCTACCATATGCGGTCCAGAGGTATGAACCATCCATCTTAAAGATGGATGCAAATAGGTGATCCATCTAAAAACAAGTATAACTAACGATCGAAATGTTTTTTAATATAATTATTATTTTTAGTTTTCAGTTTTTTTTTTTTTTTTTCATATTTATAATATCCATATTATAGAATATATATTCTCTAAAAAATAAGATCAAATTATATTTAAAAAATATATTTATTACCAAGCCTGCATTTCTACAATATGCGGGCTGGTCGCATAAAATCTATGTCCTTATTATAATTATTTATTTATTTGTTTTTTTTAATGTTAGAGATTTATTTTAATTATTTTAAGAATAATGCTTATAAGATTAGAACCTTATACTATAAAAGCAAACATAGAAAATCCAGTAAAAAATAGTATATTTCGAAGTGAGAAAACCTTCAAATTAATTCTTAACCTCAAGGTGCATGTATACAAAAAAAAAAAAGAGCATCGTGTAACAAGTTTTTTACAACGTTTATTTTCAAGATTTTAGATTTGCTCTGCATCATGTTTTGGAATTTCAAAATTTTTAATTAGAGTTGCACTTATATTTTTAAGCCATCGTAAAGTTTTTGACACCAAGACTAAATCTTTTTGCAAAATTTAGAAGTGCACCTTACCATGTATGCACCTTATAATGTATACCTCACCATTCTTTTAGTCTTTTAAGAAAATTACAAAAACCTCCTTCAAGTATACTATCTATACAACTTACCCCCAGCTAAATTTTTCTCTTACTTTTTTTTCCCACAACCATCTTTCCTCACAAAAACCCCCCAATCCAAAACAAAGATAAAAATGACTAAACTCCCTCTCTCTCTCCTCGTGGCTTTTACCCACGACTCTCTCCTCATGCGCTCCGGCAGTTCATTAAATGCTCCTGCAATGAAGACACGTGCTCCGGCAGTCCATTTAAATGCTCCGGCAATGAAGACACGCCCTCTGGCAATGCAAAGACTCGCTCCGGCAGTACACCTAGTGGAGGCATAGCACTTTGGCAGTTGAATAGGTCGCTCCGACAATGAAGACACACCCTCCGACAATACAAAGACGCGTTCCGATAGTCCATTTAAATGCTCCGGCAATGAAGATACGCGTTCCGGCATTGCAAAGACTCACTGCGGTAGTACACCTTCTGGAGGCATAGCGCTTTGGTAGTTGAATAGGTCGCTCCAACAATGAGGACACACGCTCCGGCAGTACAAAAACGCGCTTCGACAGTACACCTTTTGGTGCCACATCGCTTTGGCGGTTAAATAGGTCACTTCGGCAATAATGACCAGCGCTCTGACAATACACCTTATGGAGCAACATCGCTCCGGCGGTTGAATTGGTCGCTCCGATAATACGTTACGTGTGACTGTCAATTGATTTTTTATTTTATTTTTGTAGGGAAGGGCATTTCTGTTTAAAAAATAACGACTTTTTACCTTTAGGGGGTTTTTGAGAGGAAAGGTGCTTATGGGGAAAAAAGTGAAAAGAAAGGTTAGCTGGGGGTAAGTTGCATATATAGTATTCTTGAGGGGGGATTTTGTAATTTTCCCCATATTTTTTCATATTCTATTATCCTATGGACGAGATATTCTACTTATTGGCAGGTATCTATCAATTATTCTCAATATCATAGGGCGGAGATGAACTATAGATAACACAAACAGATTTTCATCCGTTTTAATCACTTCCATCGTCCATCTTGAAAATGGGCAGCGGATTCTCTGCATGTGTATGGTATGTAACATACATAAATGGTGGATGTAACATACATAAATGGTGGATGTGTTGGGTATTCTTTTACCAAATTTCAATTAGATCCCAATTTGATATCTGTTCAAATCTTAAGGTGGCAAATTATTTACAACAACGCATGGAAAATGTACTCAATAAATCACAAGATACCTACACTCAACCAAAATACTAAAATACCCTCCAATTTTTGATGTAGCGGCCGCTGTATATGTCCCTGGGTATCATAGTCTTTTCAACAAAAAGAACAGCACACCAACTCCTTCAGTAGTAAGGTGGAGGTGGCGGGTTGTAGTGATTCTCGGACGGCGGAGGCACCTTGTAGTAACTTTTTGGTGGCGGAGGCGGAGGTGAACCATAGTGATAAACAGGGGGCGGAGGCGGAGGTGAACCATAGTGATAAGCAGGGGGCGGAGGCGGAGGTGAACCATAGTGATAAACAGGGGGTGGAGGCGGTGGAGAATAATAATAATATTTTGGAGGTGGTGGTGGTGGTGGTGGTGGTGGTGGTGGAGGGGGAGGGGGAGGGGGAGGGGGAGGGGGAGGCGGTGGCGGAGGTGGTGGAGGAGGAGGAGGAGGTGGCGGTGGGGGAGGCGGCGGCGGTGGTGGCGGTGAGCACCTTGGGTCGCACTGAGGTGGCTTTTTGTAAAAACTCTCACACTCTTTCTCTGACCTCTGTGACTTGGCATAAGGAATACAGTTCTTTCTATCACTGACTGTAATTCTCGCACTGGAATTTGTATTTCTACCAGCCTTGCACTCCTTGGGCTCCCCAACAAAGAAGTTATCAGAGAAAGTGAAGTTTTCCAAATTGGGTAGTAAGCAAATGCTCTCTGGTATCTCCCCATAAAACTTGTTGTGCTCTATATTGAGTTGCTCTAATGAAACCATTTCTCCAATGCTTTCAGGCAATTCTCCTGTGAAATTGTTGAAGCTCACATCAAAAACAGTCAAATTTTTGAGCTCACCAATCTCCTGAGGCAAACATGAGCTAAGCCCATTGCTTGAAAGTATAATCTCATTTAATGTTGGAGCCATTTTGCTTATACTCTTAGGAAGGCACCCTCTCAGACCATTATTTGCGAAAACAACCACAGAAACAGGTGAATTCCCAAAATTTTCTGGGATTTGGAACCGAAACCGATTATGGTTCACAAATATAGCATCCAAATCCATGTCGAATAGCTCTTTGGGTACCTTCCCTTCAAATTCGTTGAACCGGAGGTCCAAATATTTGAGGGATTTTAAAGAGAGAACAACATAAGGAAAAGCACCTGCAAATCTGTTATTGCTCACATCGAGCTCAAAAAGAAGCTTAAGGTCTTTGAAGCTCATGGGAATGGTTCCACAAAATCTGTTGGAATTTATATGAAACAGGGCAAGATCAGTGAGAAGGCCTAGGTCCTCAGGCAAATAGCCAGCAATATCATCATGGTTTACATCAATGCCTGCAACTACTGTGATATGGGGGTCATCTAAAGCTCTTGCACAATAGACCCCTGTGTAATTGCAAACATTTGGGCCTACCCAATTTCTGGTTATGTTTTTTGGGTCTGAAACAATGGCATGTTTCCATGCCTGTAGAGCAATGTAAGCATTTTGGAGTCTAGGGTTTGGAAATAAGAGAGAGGGTTGCTCATCTGCGGAGGTGGTTTTGAGAAGAGCTAGTAAGAGAGAGGTAGTGAATAGTAGAGAGAGAAAGAGAGTTTTGTCTTTTGAGCCTGTCATTGGAGTGGGATTTTTCATTTCATACAGACATTGGTATCAGAGAGAGCGAATCACAGGAAATATGAGGTTACAAGAATGATCAGGGGATAGAGAGAGAAAGAGGATACAAGAATTAGCAGCACTGATTCTATAGTCTAGAGAGAGAAGAGAAGAAGGTCTAGAGAGAGAGAAGAAGAAAGGAAGAGAGGGTTTCCTTTAGATTCTATGCATGTAGAACGAGAAAGAGGGAGGAGGTTGAGACCTGAGGCAATTCGGCTGTCTCTAGAGCATGTATCTTTATATTTAGTGAAATAAAAATAAGGCCCCTATCTTTAAGCTTAATGACAATTTTTGCAGCTGCCTTTTCAAAATTCTAAATTGCCCATTGTTTATATGCACTTTTTTTTTTTTTTGGGTAGGTAATGAATGCGTCTTAGTTCTTAATTGTCCATGTTGCGCAAGTATGAAGCATGATTAAGCTTTCATTTCTTTATCTGATGGAAAACTATGCAATAATAATAGGTATTACTACATAATTTATTCATCAAAACATTGTTTAGTTTCTAATAAAATAAGAGAAAATGGGTCAGGTTTCCTCATCTTATACTATACAAGTAAGATACACCTCTAAATTTTGTTAGAAGATATAATTCTAGTGTCGGAATTCTTACAATGGTTTGAAGATCCATGTTCGACCCTAATATGGAATTTAAAATTCTAAAAACAATACAGATTGAACAGATCTATAAACACTTAAAAACTTAAAATTGACAGTCCAGATATGCGCTATTTTAGGATTTTAAATTCTATTTTCTCTTTGTCTTTATACATCTCGATATCAAAATGATCAATTGAAAAGTTTTTCAAGTTTGGAACACTCTTTTTTAGTCGATTTTGATGTGCACCTTACTTCTATAATATAAAATTACTGCCTTATAGAAACTTTTTCTATTATAAATAATACGTTTTTTAACATAGTATGTATTGGAATAGAAGCAACCCTAACACAACATCTGCGAAATTGATGTCACATAGACCTCAACAATGAATCGACAAGCCCATCCAAACATGGATATGCATGTAGCATCTTGATATTTTAACAATAAACAATCATGGTATAGGATACCAATCATGTAGAGAGGCACCACACAGAGAGAGAGAGAGAGAGAGAGAGAGAGAGAGAGAGTTTTCTTTTTTTTCCTCTTGGATGAGACTTTGTTTCATTAGGTCTTGAAGAGTTTGGACGAATCAGTACTCATTATTTAATATACTCGATCCTATATTATAATACAATGGAAAAGTATATGATGAGATTATTATAATATTATAATATTAATAATATTATTATAATATTAATTATTATTATTATAATATTAATTATTATTATTATAAGAAAAATGATTTTGTAAGTTCCTCCCACACCCATGTGTGTAGGGTTTTAAAGGTTACCATTAAATTTGGCACAAATCGCTAAAAAAGTCAAGTCCCACATCTATGTGATAACTTTTTTAGAGATCTATGTTAAATTTGATGGTGATCATTTGGGGCTCTACATATATGGGTGTAGGAGAGTCTCATAGGATCATTACTCTTATTATAATATAATATTATAATATTATTTATTATTATATAATATTATAATATAGTGGACACAATTAATCTTGACCATTTGATGTGAAATTAGATGACTGTATTTATTTCATTGATCACGTTCAAATTTCAAAATAAATTTTCTCGAACTTTATGACATATTCAAGCTACCACATTTCACATCAAATGGTTATAAATAATTGTGACCTCCTTGTATCAAATGCAAATGGTCTCATTGTATATAATCTCTAATACAATTTTTTTTTACTCTAAGAATATCCCAATCGCTCTTCGTCAAATGTTGAATCGGGCAACCAATGTTGCATAAAAAGATTCAAGAACGAGTTTTTTAGACTTTAAATTCGATCAATGACAACATTTGCAACCACCCGATTTTAGATCTAATAGCTAATGACATTTGGATCCTTCTTTGTGCCAATAATAAATAGTTGTATGGTACGTTAATACGCCAGTCATAGAAGCTTCTACTCCGAGTTTGTTCTCTTCCATTGATTCATATTGATTTATATTTTACCTTGGGAATAAGGACCATTTATATTTATCCTTGATAATAGAGATCATTTACCTTTGGAATAAGGAGGTTACAATTATTTGTAACCATCAAAAGTGAAATTTAATAGTTTGAGTGTGTTACAAAATTCGAAAAAATTCATTTGAACTTTGAGCTTGGTTAATGAAATAAATGTAGCCATCCAATTTCACATTCAGTAGTCAATATTTATTATGACTATCTTGTACCAAAAGATAAATGGTCTCATCATATATATATTTTTTTATAAAAAAATGTTAAACTAACATTAAATTTACAAGAAAAAGAACTCGTTTTTCCCTCATTTGTGATCTAAAGTAAACAAGGCTCCACCCACTTGGCCAATCCAAACGAGTTTGGATGCTGGGGAGGCAATGGGCCGGGCTTGAGGCAAGTCAGGTCTAAAGAGGCCTGGGCCCAAGGCCCATCCTTAGCCTTGACCGGGCCGATTGGGCCAAAGAGATACGAGCCTCGGCCCATCCCTAACAGCTTGGGCCTAACCAAATACAACAACAAATATATAAAAAGGAAAAACAAAAGAAGATAAGGGCGGGTTTGGGCGGCCATGGCCCAAGACCTATCCTAAGGCCATTGTTGACTGGCCCACGCCCAAGTTTTTTAGGGCTTGGCCATCTTGGCCGGGCCGGTCAACGCGGCTCATTGCAGATCCGGGAATGGGGATGCGTCGGTGATAAGGATCGCGTTAGTATGGGTCCCGCCTGCAAGCTGGCGGAACCTTTCTTCACATTAAACATGGAGGTTGGCTGTGCTTTCTCAATCTCACATTTGGCACGTGAAATTTTTATATACCAGATTTTACTTTTTTACCAGCACAAAAGAATTATAAAAAAATTTAAAAACCATATAGAATTATTGTAGAAAATTGCTAAAGTTTAAAACTAAGCAAGTGCATTGACTTTTTGAATATATAAGAAAAAAATCTTCTCATTGACAATTTCAAGTAGTCTTAAAATATGCATAATTTCTCACTAAATTATGAAATTGCCTTCTTGTTTAGTCATGGGATGCGGCTGACCCACCTTTACTTACTTCTTAAAATATGTTATATTTTCTCTTTTTTTTGTGTACTCTATCTTTATAATGTGAACAACTTGTCAAAATAATTAACATTCAGAGAATTTGTCAAAATGAGGCCCATGCAAAATAATAAATATATCAAATGAAGTGTAGTGTGGTCTATTAAAATGGGGGTTTGAAAACGCAGTACTTGGTTTTCTTTAACATGTGAAAACTACTTTTTTCTTAACGGGTGAAAACCACTATTTATTTTTTTTTTGGGGTAATTCAATGGAAAAAACATACCCCTACTAGTTTCAATCTTTTCAAATAGTTTAGGAGTTAATTTTTGAATCTATTAGTGGGGTGATACGAGAATAAAAGCTACAAGATAATGATTAAAGTATGGGGATGCTACCGCCACAACCCCAGCCTTTTTCTGGACTTGGTTTTTTTAATGGATGCAGTTTTCTTAAGGTGCCTGCATTTATAATATCCGATAAAGCCGCATTTTAAAACAAAAAATATAATTCTGTAATTTGAAAATCAGATTTGTTGGATCAGTGAAGAATTGAACTTGCTGGGCTAAACTATGTTGCAAAATGGAGCACTTTTAGGGCTTAAACCCTTCGAGGGGACCATTTTGCAAGTTTTTTGGTTGCTTAAACTAATTTGTTTGGGCCTAATCCTAATACACTCAAAGAAAATCTAGGAAAAAAACTAAAGAAAAAACTGGGCTGGCCAGGCATTATTGTAAGCTCTAGGCCTTGCACGGCCTGGGGCATGTTTTGTAGTCCAAACCCTAATTTTTTAGGGCTACGCCGACCGTGCCAGGCCGACTGGCCCATTGCCAGCTCTACCTTCCCTTAATACACATTGAAACAATGAGTAATCTTTGTCATTTTCTTGCGGGTATTATCCTTGCATCATTAGATGCATCACCGTACTTTGAATGAAGGCTCATAGCCAAGTGAGAAAAAACTTTAATTGTATCATACGCTTTTGATCGTTTCTCTTTGTCCCACACAGAAATGTGTGACGTGTAGTTAAAGGAAAAAGTTTATATAGGTCGTAGGTTCTAAACGATCAAATTAGAGCTTACTTCAAAACTTTCACTAAGGTTGTTTTGATGTTTAAATATTTTCTAATTGACCATCTCGACATCAAGATGCGTGGGTATGAAAAAAAATGGGATTTCAAGTTTTAGAAATAGTACATCTTGTAATACATATTTGTACAGTCAATTTTCAAGATTTTCATAGATATGCTCGATCAATACTATTTTCGAAACTTTAAATTTTATAATAAAAGATGAAAATATATTTTAAAGCTATAACAAATATTTTCAATAGTGAAACCACATTTCTCGATACTATTTGAAGGTGAGCTCTAATTTAATTGTTTAGAACCTCGGCTCTATACAAACCGCACCCCTTGGTTAAATGTCTATCTGGTTGCTCTCGAATCTTATGGACTTGTTTTCTTTTTCTTTTGTCCGAGCAATTAAGTGAAATTCAAGCATAACTATGCGCCCATATACCCTTAGCGGTCGGATTTTTTTGGGGGGGGAATCAGTGGGGAGAGGGCCCCTACCTTTGGTAGAAATTGAGCCTAGGACATAGCGTTATAAATCAACGTTATAAATCATCAAGCGCTAACTAATTAAGCTCGAGCTCTTTTTTTTGGTTGAATGGAGTTCAAGAACATGGTTAAGTGAGATTTAGAACCGCTATGGGGTCCTTATACCTTTAGGCTTTGCTTTAGTGTGCATTGTTAGTGGGGTAAGAACCCTAATTTGACGTCCCACCCTCCATTCCCATCATTAACTTGTTAAAAAAAAAAAAGAAAAAGAAAAAGAAAAAGTGAAGGACTCAAAAAGCTCAAATAAGTTGACCTAGCAATTTTATTTTATTTTTTTATTTTTTATTTTTGGCCTTTTTGCCCTAATCGGTGAGCCAAACGATTGAATCATTTTGCCCGTTGGTTCTTCAAGCAAGAACTCTTACAGTCCCTTGTTAAAGATCCCTTCAATTTGCGGTACCATCTATTGACAATTAGGGTTACCTTAGTAGTTGATGGTAGTTGGCACCTACCCTAGATTTCCCAATATACCATTAAAGCATGATAGATTGATAGGAT